GGCCACGGACAATGGTGAAGCCCGCTAACGGTGGCTAATAGCAAGTAGCTAGTTAGCTGGCTAGCTGGCTAGTTTCAAATCAAATCAAATCAAATTTTATTGGTCACATGCGCCGAATACAACAGGTGCAGACATTACAGTGAAATGCTTACTTACAGCCCTTAACCAACAGTGCATTTATTTTTAACAGAAAAAGTAAAAATAAAACAACAACGAAAAAAGTGTTGAGAAAAAAAAGAGCAGAAGTAAAATAAAATAACAGTAGGGAGGCTATATATACAGGGGGGTACCGGTGCAGAGTCAATGTGCGGGGGCACTGGCTAGTTGAGGTAGTTGAAGTAATATGTACATGTGGGTAGAGTTAAAGTGACTATGACTATGCATAAATAATTAACAGAGTAGCAGCAGCGTAAAAAGGGTGGGGGGGCAGTGCAAATAGTCCGGGTAGCCATGATTAGCTGTTCAGGAGTCTTATGGCTTGGGGGTAGAAGCTGTTGAGAAGTCTTTTGGACCTAGACTTGGCACTCCGGTACCGCTTGCCGTGCGGTAGCAGAGAGAACAGTCTATGACTAGGGTGGCTGGAGTCTTTGACAATTTTGAGGGCCTTCAGCCAGAGGTTCTGGATAAAAATGTATGAAGAAATAATAGAATCCGTTCCACATTGGGTGAGGCGGGTTGCAGGAAAGTATATTTAGTTAAAGGATGGAAAGTGAGATTGAGAAATATATACGAAAAATACAAAAAAACAAAAAACAGGCTATTTACATGAGTACAGTACAGAAAACACGACCGCACTGCTATGCCATCTTGGAACTATTTTTGTTACAGCATATACAGTACCAGTCAAACGTTTGGACACACCTACTCATTCAAGGGTTTTTCTTTATTTTTACAATTTTCTACATTGTTGAATAATAGTGAAGACATCAAAGCTATGAAATAACACGTATGGAATTATTTAGTTACCAAAAAAGTGTTAAACAAATCAAAATATATTTTATATTTGAGATTCTTCAAATAGCCACCCTTTGCCTTGATGACAGCTTTGCACACTCTTGGCATTCTCTCAGCCAGCTTCACCTGGAATGCTTTTCCAACAGTCTTGAAGGAGTTCCCACATATGCTGAGCACTTGTTGGCTGCTTTTCCTTCACTCATCCCAAACCATCTCAATTGGGTTGAGGTCGGGGGATTGTGGAGGCCAGGTCATCTGATGCAGCACTCCATCACTCTCCTTCTTGGTAAAATAGCCCTTACACAGCCTGGAGGTGTGTTGGGTCATTGTCCTGTTGAAAAACAAATGATAGTCCCACCAAGCCCAAACCAGATGAGATGGCATATCGCTGTGGAATACTGTGGTAGCCATGCTTGTTAAGTGTGCCTTGAATTCTAAATTAATCACAGACAGTGTCACCAGCAAAACACCCCCACACCATAACACCTCCTCCTCTATGCTTTACGGTGGGAAATACACATATAGAGATAATCCGTTCACCCACACCGCGTCTCACAAAGACTCTTTGGACTCCAGACCAAAGGACACATTTCCACTGGTCTAATATCCATAGCTCATGTTTCTTGTCCCAAGGAAGTCTCTTCTTATTATTGGTGTCCTTTAGTAGTTTTTTTTGTTGTTGCAGCAATTCGACCATGAAGGCCTGATTCACACAGTCTCCTCTGAACAGTTGATGTTGAGATGTTTCTGTTACTTGAACTCTGTGAATCATTTATTTGGCCTGCAATTTCTGAGGCTGGTAACTCTAATGAACTTATCCTCTGCAGCAGAGGTAACTCTGGGTCTTCCATTCTTGTGGTGGTCCTCATGAGAGCCAGTTTTATCATAGCGCTTGATGGTTTTTGCAACTGCACTTGAAGAAACTTTCAAAGATCTTGAAATTGTCCTTATTGACTGACCTTCATGTTTTAAACTAATGATGGACTGTCGTTTCTCTTTGCTTATTTGAGCTGTCCACCTTGTGACAATACAACTGATTGGCTCAAACGCATTAAGAAGGAAAGAAATTCCACAAATTAACTTTCAAGAAGGCACACCTGTTAATTGAAATGCATTCCAGGTGACTACCTCATGAAGCTGGTTGAGAGAATGCCAAGAGTGTGCAAAGTTGTCATCAAGGCAAAGTGTGGCTATTTGAAGGATCTCAAATATAAAATATATTTTGATTTGTTTAACGCTTATTTGGTTACTACATGATTCCATATGTGTTATTTCATAGTTTTGATGTCTTCACTATTATTCTACAATGTAAAAAATAGTGAAAATAAAGAAAAACCCTTGAATGAGTAGGTGTGTCCAAACTTTTGACTGGTAGTGTTCTTGTGGACAAAATGAGTCAGCATTGTTTCCTTGTTATTTCAACCTAATCAGCTACATGACTGCAATGTAATCTATAGAATTTGAGGAGTTTTAGTCCAAGTCAGTCTTGTTCTTGCTACTGTGTCTGAGTGGCACTGTGGCCTCAAGGAGAAGCTGGTGTAGTTTAACAGATGGTACAGGTGATGTGGCTATATTTAACCATGGTGAATTTCCCTCTCTCTCTCCTTCACTGTCTCTTTCTCTTTGCCTCTCTCAGCCTCAGACAGTGTGGGAGAGGTGGATGTGACTACTAGTTGTTTCCGGGGTCGAGGCGAGGGCTACAGGGGGACAGTAGCAGTAACACCCAGTGGAGTGACCTGTCAACGCTGGGACTCACAGTACCCCCACAACCACACATACATACCCCGGGACTATCGTTGCAAGTGAGTGACCCACGCTTGTACGGACACACATCGACAACCCTACACACACTATATTACATGTTAAAGGGCATTCAAATATAACGTAAAAAAGTTATTCCCAATTACATCTTAAAAACAGTGATTTTCAAACACTATGTGATTTGTGGTGACATGTGGAGCAAGAAAATACCCTCCCTCTGGCTAGAAACTCATTGCAGGTTTTGAAAATCACATTTTGTCTTACTTTTAATACTACCCTTTGATGTCACAGAGAATAATTTATTTTAAACACCCGACAAGGCCCAAATCCCCGTCATTCGCAGGAGAAAGAGACGGTCGGAGTGCCTTGTAAGGATCCGACAGCGAGTGGGTAATCTGCCTCTACCATCAGTCCTATTAGCCAATGTACAATCATTGGATAACAAAATAGACAAGCTACGATCACGAATATCCTACCAACGGGACATTAAAAACGGTAATATTTTAGGTTTCACCGAGTCATGGCTGAACGACGACATGGATAACATACAGCTGGCTGGGTTTACGCTGCATCGTAAGATAGAACAGCCGCCTCCGGTAAGACAAGGGGTGGCGGTCTGTGTATATTTGTAAACAACAGCTGATACACGAAATCTAATATTAAGGAAGCCTCGAGGTTTTGCTCGCCTGAGGTAGAGTATCTCATGATAAGCTGTAGACCACTCTATTTAGCAAGATTGTTTTCATCTATATTTTTCATAGCTGTCTATTTACCACCACAAATCAATGCTGGCACTAAGACCGCACTCAGTGAGCTGTATAAGGCCATGAGCAAACAGGAAAACACTCATCCAGAGATGGCACTCCTAGTGGCGGGAGACTTTTATGCAGGGAAACTTACATCCGTTTTACCTCATTTCTACCAGCATGTTAAATGTGCAACCAGTGGGAAAAGAACTCTAGACCACCTTTACTCCACACACAGAGACACGTACAAAGCTCCACCGGCTCCGACGCTCGTGGCAGGGCTTGCAAAGTATTACAGACTACAAAGGGAAGCACAGCCGCGAGCTGCCAAGTGACACAAGCCTACCAGACGAGCTAAATTACTTCTATACTTGCTTCGAGGCAAGCAACACTGAAGCATGCATGAGAGGATCAGCTGTTCCGGACGACTGTGTGATTACACTCTCCGTAGCTGATGTGAGTAAGACCTTTAAACAGGTCAACATTCACAAGGCCGCAAGGCCAGATGGATTAACAGGACGTGTACTCCGAGCATGCGCTGACCAACTTGCAAGTGTCTTCACTGACATTTTCAACCTGTCCCTGACTGAGTCTGTAATACCAACATGTTTCAAGCAGACCACCATTGTCCCTGTGCCCAAGAACACTAAGATAACCTGCCTAAATGACTACAGACCCGTAGCACTCACGTTTGTAGCCATGAAGTGCTTTGAAAGGCTGGTCTTGGCTCACTTCAACACCATTATCCCAGAAACCCTAGACCCACTCCAATTTGCATACCGCCCCAACAGATCCACAGATGATGCAATCTCTATTGCGTGCCACACTGCTCTTTCCTACCTGGACAAAAGGAACACATACGTGAGAATGCTATACATTGACTACAGCTCAGTGTTCAACACCATAGTGCCCTCAAAGCTCATCACTAAGCTAAGGACCCTGGGACTAAACACCTCCCTCTGCAACTGGATCCTGGACTTCCTGACGGGCCGCCCCCAGGTGGTAAGGGTAGGTAACAACACATCTGCCACGCTGATCCTCAACACGGGGGCCCCTCAGGGTTGTGTGCTCAGTCCCTTCCTGTACTCCCTGTTCACCCATGATTGCATGGCCAGGCACGACTCCAACACCATCATTAAGTTTGCCGACGACACAACAGTGGTAGGCCTAATCACCGACAACTGTTATTTTGCTGCTGCTCTTTAATTATTTGATATTTCTTTGTATATTATTTTTTTACTGATCTATCTTTTACTTAACACTTATTTTTCTTAAAACTGCATTGTTGGTTAATGGCTTGTAAGTAAGCATTTCACAAGGTCTATACCTGTTGTATTCGGCGCATGTGACAAATACAATTTTATTTTATTTGGTTTGGTGCTGGAGATAATGAATAGGAGGTTGAAAAGTGGCAGAGTTGCTCTTTAACTTGTTTAGAGAATATATATTTATTGTGTGTGTGTATGTTGCAGAGACCTGAGGGAGAACTACTGCAGGAACCCTGACGGCCTTGACCTCCCATGGTGCTTCACTTCAGACCCTAACGTTCGCAATGCATTCTGCACCAACATCCCCCGCTGTGGCACACAGAACACTGAACCCAAGGGTGAGAGCATAATCAAAACCACAGTAGACCCCTGAGCTAAAGCCTAGCCTATAGCTCCAGGAGCTAATACTGGTCTTCAGGTCTCAGACAATGGTAGTGCAACGGATATTTACTGCTTTTGGTTATACTAACAAGTGAAGTGGGCGGCGGGTACCCTAGCGGTTAGAGCGTTGGGCCAGTAATCAAAAGGTCTCTGGTTGAAATCCCCAAGCCGACTAGGTGAAAAATATTCCGATGTGCCCTTGAGTAAGGCACTTAGCCCTAATTGCTCCTGTAAGTCGCTCTGGATGAGAGCGTCTGCTACATTTTTATTTTGACCCTGCAAAATAGATGGATTCCTGATGCAGATATGTTTTCTCTGTTTAATGCAAATTTACTTGGCATTCAGTGTTGTCCCTGAAGTATGATCTCCTGAGCAACTTATAAAGTATGTTTCTATAGAAGTATTACTGTAGGACTCTGGGAATCACAGCCCACTGCACATAAATAAACTAGCTCTGACAGCATTACAACATCGCTCTGTCCCATTGGACAGTGAGGGTGGAGGCTCTGTCCCATTGGATAGAGAGGACAAGGAAGCGCTGTCCCATTGGATAGTAAGGGGATCTGGAATACAGATTCTTTAGGGTTGTGTTTTTCCCACACTCAGATTAGAATCTCGGGGCTGAGACAGTTTTGTGACTGGTGTTTTGTAGTCATGTTCTGGTCTACCAGTCAGGACAGCAGAGATTTGTACAGTTTCAATACTATATTTCCATGGGGTTGGTGTGGTCTGTAGCATTCTGACTTATATTACAGGAACATAAATATGTTTTCATATTTTATTAGCCTGGTATCATACTGTGTGTGTGCGTGCGTTCCAGACTGCTACGAGGGCAATGGAGAGAGCTACAGAGGAGAGGTGTCAAGGACCAGGTCAGGTCTTCCCTGTTCCATCTGGAGAGACCATAGGTAACAAAACCACATGCTACACATCTGTGTGTGTGTTGGGGGGGGGTGGGGGGAGGAGGGGGGACCATAGATGGGAGTAGGGCTGTGGTGGTCATGAAATGTTGTCAGCTGGTGATTGTCAAGCAAATAACTGCCGGTCTCACGGTAATTGACCGTTAATTAACATAAACACGTTTCGCATATCCTGGCTTCCACGCATTGCCTACAAGCCACTGATGCAGACCTTTGGAACAATCTATATTTTAAAAAGTCAAATAAATCCATTTGATATAGCCTACACCATCACAATAAACCATTATTTATTCACATGATATTGTCACGATCGTCATGGAGAGACCAAGGCGCAGCGTTGCAGGTGAACATATTTATATTTATTTAATGATCACACGATCAAAACAACAAACGAAAAACGTGACGTCTATGGTTTAAACACAAACCAACACGAACAAAATCCCACCAACACAAAGTGAAAGACAGACAGTTAAATATGGCTCCCAATCAGAGACAACCAGCTGACACTCGTTGCCTCTGATTGGGAGTCACTCAGGCCAACATAGATAGACAACGACTAGAACCTAAACAAAATAAACACCCTGGCTCAACATACGAGAGTCCCCAGAGCCAGGGCGTGACAGATATGAAGAAAATGTAGTCTATTTCAGAAGAACAGAATAGCATACAATGAGTTGTCCTTATGTTAGGCCCTGATCTGGCAGTGCCATTTGGCTGTAGGCTAAACTAGTTAATTTAGAAGAAAGATTTTCTTAGAATTCTGTGGCATTATTTTATATTATTTTATAGTATGAAGAATACAATTGAACATACTGTATCTGAATAAAATAGAAAGGATATTTTCTCCAAATGATTTCCAATGGAGTGCGCTCATCCAGCTATTCTGTGTTGAGTGGTTAACAAAGAAACAGGTCCTCCTATATGCTTAATTTAGATGTATTTATGCAACTTTAGTTGTGATACAAACGTTGGGCTATATGTTTAGATTTTTAATACATGCGACTAATGATGAGTTGAAAACGTTGCATCAAAGGCATGAGCTCTGCTTTGTTTCTTGTGCAGGCTGCGCACACTTCATCAGTCTCTCATTCACAATTTGTCAAGCACTTGATAATATTCTCACAAGGCTTTTAATTTCCCGGCGGCATCCCCCTTGTGTGGCTGTAATGCCCCCTAAAAAAATCCATGGCTTATGTGGCCAAAATGGCCATTGTGCCTTTGGGCTGAATATAATAATTATAATTCCCTTCTCCCAGCTGCCATTCGCCGTGCTCTGAAGCACCTCTCACTCACATGGCTCCCTCAGATATCTCAATTGTTATTAGCCAATGCCTGTCACGTGATTGGCTCCTTCTCACAGGCATCTCAGCTCAGAAGTAGGCTACAAGTGAAGACAGACACATCGGGCAATTGCGCGCGTCCTTATTATCGAATTCCGAGGTGCATATTGAAGATGTTAGAAGAACTGTCCACATTTACTTTTCATCAGCCAACAAGATGAGTAGGCCTAACAAACAAGAAAAGCACTAGCCTATGTCAATCTACTATCCCCCATAGTACAAAACTTGACCTATTCTATTGGTCAACTTGGCCTTCTGTGCGAGAAATAAATATTCCAAACATACTCTGGGACAGTTGTGGGATGCAATAGATCCCAAATTAATACAACCACTGCATAAAACAACTTTAAAAGCAATGAGGCTGATGCAACAGATCAACAGAAAATGTTGATAAACTATTAGGCTATTTCTTCACATTATAAGCCCAGCAATGCCCACACGGCAGTAGGCTATAAGCGCGAATGTGCCTAAATGCAATCAATTAGCAGGAAAACACGTTCTCAAAAGTGAACGCAAATGTGATTATGCATGTAATGCTTTATTATAAAGGTGCATTTTTGTGGTGAAAATGATCTTCCCCAAACTTGAAACTCACGTGCCGCCTATGTATGCCAGTTAGGCTTTACACCGGTTGTAAAGCGGATTAATATGCCTAATTTTAAGAAGTTATTTGGCCACTTTAGTTGCGATACAAACCTTATCAAAACATATAGGCCTATGGGATAGGCTACATGAGATGTGTGATTATGATTTGAAAAAGTCACAAAAAAAGCCATGCGCTGTTTCTTGGCTTACTGCACATGATGGGCATCATTCACAAGTGATCATTTATCTTTCACCAGTGATAGGCTAATATTGTCACCCATCAGACTATTCTTAATTTAATCTTGTCTTTACATATATACTAAATAATATATGTGTGAAATTAGTTTTGATTTAGAATGGACCATTATCATGCACCTGTCTCGGAACAGGGGCAGGGGGAAAAAAATACATGTAATCTATGCACTTAAATAGCGAATGGAGGACGCTTTTCCCGTAGTTCATTTTCATGCCAGCCAGGTAGGTTATACTCCTATTTTAAAGCAAAGCATGGTGCTTAATATTAGGAAAGTACAGAAATAAATATAGTAGGCCTAGCCTATAGAAAGCTGATGGGTTCCTCCTCTTTTTAATAGAGGCCATCAAAACGATGTTTTCTCGCGCAATTGCATAGCCTATAGAAATGTTGTGCAACATGAGTTTATGGGTTCTGATACAGTGTTTGATTTGATTTTCGATCACATTACCAGGCAGTTAGCAAGTTTGGTAGGCTACTAATGACCATCAGAATCATCACGTGGAATTTGACTGCGGTCATAACTCATGACTGCCAGTGTGGCGGTAATACGGTCACCGTAACAGCCCTAAGAGGGAGTGCCCTATTCAGAAACACATGGTTGAACCTAAGAGGTCATGGGGGAGTTAACCTGTAGCTGACCTGTGGTCAAGTCATATTGGTCTAACAGAGAGTCAGAGCCTGGCTGTTCTCAAGGAGAGAAAAACTGGTCCATTACTCCACTCCACTGTAATGGATGGTTGTGTGGGTGTGTAATAAAGCATCTGGGGGACATGATGCAGGCCTCCTCTGACCCTGAGCCTCTTCCCTTCTCGGAATACTTCAAAGCCAATCGGTTCCTCTGCTTGGCTCCCGCCCAGAGGTTAGAGGTCAGAGGTCAGTGGTTATTGTTTATGTTTGAGAGACTCAGAGGAATCACACTCTCAGCACTCATGCACGCACACGCACACTGTGCGTCACACTGAACTCCTCTGAATTCCCCTATTATCATCCTGGAATGTCTGGGAAGGAATTCTGTTGGTGACGTTCCAAACATTACGATCATTGCCCTGTGTCAGTGTAGGTGTGTGTGTGAGAGAAAGAGAGATGGGGAAAGAGAGAGAGAGAGGCCATACACAGCTGTGGCTCCTCTCATAATGGTGGGCTGACAGTCTGTCTTTAACCGTCTCTAATACTCTCCTTTGCTTTTTGTGTGTATAGTCGGGACAGAGATGCAGCGGTGCTGACTGTGGGACAGGAGGGGAGTTTCTGTAGGAACCCAGACAGAGACACACACGGCCCCTGGTGTTACACTAACAACGCTGCTATACCCTGGGACTACTGCAGCGTCAAACCTTGTGAGCCATACACACACACACACACACACACACACACACCACTGCTGTAGTAGCACTGTCACTGTGTTGTCACTGAGACCTCCATCTTGTGTTTCATCCTCTGTCATACAGGTGAACCATCAGAGAACACCATTCCACAGAGAGGTCAGTCTCTCTACTACTGCCGCCTTCTGGTTTTCATGTTTTCATCTTGTACTTCTCTTTGGGTATAAAATGGTTGTTTCAACATAGTTTCCTCTTTCTCAACTTGTCAGTGGAGGTGTCCAAGGTGTCATGTTTCATCCATAAGACGACCAGGATAGTAGGAGGCGCTCCAGTCGCCATCACAGACGGAAGCTGGATGGTCAGCATACAGAAACGGTACACACACACACACACACCTGGCTTTGCTTCTCTGTGTTATCAAGGTATAAACTCTGCTCTAATGGCAGATGTATAGACCATCTGTCCAAGTGTTGGAGTTAGCCAAGGTTCATTCCCAGTGTGTAATATCATGTGTGTTGTGTTCCCTCCCCAGGTCCAGTCACTGGTGTGGAGGTTCTCTCATACGAGAGGAGTGGGTCCTCACTGACAGACAATGCTTCTCCTCATGGTAACTGCATCTCTCTCTCTCTCTCGGAATAACGGCAGAGAGCAGATAGAGAACAAGGATCTAATCCTAGCGAGAGGAAGAGAGCGCTGCAGTCAGACTGGTTCTCTCTCTCGTCTCTCTCTCTCTCGCATCTTCTCTCTCTCGATCTCTCTCGCTCTCTCTCTCTCCCCTCCATCTCTCGTCTCTCTCTCTCTCTCTCTCTCTCTCTCTCTCTCTCTCTCTCTCTCTCTTTACCTTTCTTCCTCTGCCCTTTCTCTTTACTATGCTTACATCCACCCGTTTCCCCACAGTGTTCCAGACCTGAGTGAGTACCGTGTGTGGTTGGGTGTATCAGACCTCCGTGGCTCGGCTCCTAACAGCTCCTTCAGACAGGAAGTCTCCATCTCCCATGTGATCTGTGGTCCTGAGGGCTCCAACCTGGCCCTCATACGGCTGGCCCAGTGAGTGCCTGAACAGAAATATACAAACACTCCTGGTCGTATATCATACGTTTTCTATTCTTGAGAGGATTCTTTTGTCTTATTTTCTTTCTCTCTGTCAGGCCTGCCCTCCCTGCAGATAGTGTCCACACAATTCAGCTGCCGGTGGCTGGGTGCTCCATTGCTGATGGCTCGATGTGTAGCATGCATGGATGGGGCGAGACCAAAGGTACACACACATACCATCACATCCATCAGGATTGTATCATCCAGGAAAGGAACTGGTTACTCATTAGCTGTACTGATGTCTTGTTGTCATGACTATAATCCCCCCTCCTCTCACCTATCACTCAGGTACGGGTCATGAAAGTGTACTGAAGGTGGTCCATCTGCCCATGGTCAGTAATGAGAGGTGTAGTGAACAACACAGAGGGAACCTCCACATCACAGACACCAAGATTTGCGCTGGGGGGAGGAGGGATGAGGGGGTCTGTGAGGTAAGGAGGCTGGTGAACTACAAATGAAATGTGCACTGAAACACTTGAACAGTTCGCTCTCACCAGGAGTTGACTGTATGTTTTTACTAATGTATGCTTTATGTCTCTCCCCCTGTCAGAGGGACTATGGCGGTCCCTTGGTGTGTCAGGAAGGAGAGAGCAGGGTCATAGTGGGGGTCAGTGTCCATGGCAGAGGCTGTGCCCGTGCCAACCGGCCTGGCATCTTCATCAACGTCCCCTTCTACACCCAGTGGATCCACAAGGTGTTCAGACACTACCCCGAACCTCAGCTCAACTAGGCACTACCCTCAGATCAACTAGAGATAAACCTTTATCCCATCATCAACTAGAGACTCATTAGACCCAACCTTTAGACATCCTACACCCAGTGGATCCACAACTAGACCCCCCTTGATATAGACACACATTGTTGTCACTACTCTTACCAGTGGCTCAGTCAGTTAAGGACCAACTGAGTCCCTGTGCATTTGAAAGGGGGAAAACTCCAGCCGTACCGTAAATATCAGACGCAACTCCAAACTTGATTCTGGACTTCAGACTCATGGGCTTCTATATGTCTATGGAGTGGACCTGTGAAGTGGAATGCAATTGTGTTGATCAGACTGCTGGATTGATCCTTTAGATAATATAAATGTGTAGTGTTACAAACATGCTACTAAGGACAACAGAGGTGTGGATATGTGGATATGTGGTCGGCCAACCACCATGTCCTGAAGCTGGTAAGGTTTGGATGTTCAGGACTCGTATTGTACACAGTCAGTAAGAAGATGTAGATGAGGTGGTAATAGGGGAGAGTGGGGTAAGTTGAGACACCCCTTGTTTCTAGGAAAACATATACAAAATTAATAATGTGACCAAATTTTTAGGAAGAGGTCATCATTTAATGGAGTCAGAAGGAAGAAACCACAAACCAATTTTCACAAAGTCAATGGATTGTATTGTGTTACAGGTTTCATGATGCTTGTATCTAAACCAAAGTAGATCGTTTTCAGATTGTTTTGTACATCAGTTGGGGTCTCTATAAGCTACAATATGAGGTCCTAAACCTAGCATGAAAGTGCATCCTTGTAGCTGTGTGGATCAAATATAAAATCAAAATGTTTGCCTTGGGGTAAGTTGAGCCAATGGCCACCATACCCCATTCAAATTATGATTACATTTAGTCAGTTTTATGCATAATATTTTTGCAATGTGTCATGCATATAAACTCAAGATAGTGCATTTGTATTATTACAGAGAAGACATCATCATGCCCCTTGTATACAAACATAAAACAAACAGGGGTCTAGCCCCCATTGAGTTTATTGAGAGAGCAGCCAAGGAAGTGAGAGAAGGGAAGAAGTCAATTGAGCAGCAGCAAAGGATGAAAAAATAGACCTTATGACACTGAAGAGGTACATTGACAAGAAAGAAAGCAAACATGTACCTGTGTGAAAGAGAGGCTATGATAGAGTAGCAGAGGCACACAGGGTCTCACCAGTCTCAGCTTGCTAAACATATAAAAAATCTCGCAGACCAATTTCATGGGCTTAGTAGCCTCAAATGCAGAGAAGTTGCCTACGAATTGGCACATTGAAACAACATCTCTGTCCCAGACAGCTGGTCAAGAAATGGAAGGGTCAGTGATATTGAACAGAGAGATCTATATCTGAATGTAGGCATACATTTAAGATATATAATATACCACACCCCCATTCCATGAATTAAACTTTGACCTACCAGCACCATCACCCACTATCACAGGACACGATCACCCACTTACCCAAAGGCGGCTGAATTTACCCAAACCCGGGGTAAATTGTGCCAAGAGACCACTTTTTTTGGACAAGCTATGTTTTCAAAACTGTTATGTTTACATTAATTCTGATTATTTCCAGGGATACACAACATCCTGAAATACACTACAAAAGTATGTGCTCGTCAAACATCTCATTCCAAAATCATGGGCATTAATATGGAGTTGGTCCCCCCTTTGCTGCTATAAAAGCCTACACTCTTCTGGGAAGGCTTTCCACTAGATGTTGGAACATTGCTGCTGGGACTTGTTTCATTCAGCCACAAGAGCATTAGTGAGGTAGGGCATTGATGTTGGGCGATTAGGCCTAGCTCGCAGTCGGCTTTCCAATTCATCCCAAAGGTGTTCGATGGGGTTGAGGTCAGGGCTCTGTGCAGGCGAGTCAAGTTCTTCCACACCCATCTTGACAAACCATTTCTGTATGGAGATCGCTTTGTGCACGGGGGCATTGTCATGCTGAAACAGGAAAGGGCCTTTCCCAAACTGTTGCCACAAAGTTGGAAGCACAGAAGCTGTAGCGTTAAGATTTCCCTTCACTGTTACTAAGGAGCCTACCGCTAACCATGAAAAACAGCCCAAGACCATTATTTCCTCTCCACCAATATTTACAGTTGGCACTATGCATTCGAGCAGGTAGTGTTGTCCTGGCATCCGCCAAACCCAGATTTGTCCGTCGGACTGCCAGATGGTGAAGCCTGATTCATCACTGCAGAGAACGTGTTTCCACTGCACCTGAGTCCAATGGCGGCGAGCTTTACACCAATCCAGCTGACGCTTGGCATTGCGCATGGTGATCTTAGGCTTGTGTGCACCTGCTCGGCCATGGAAACCCATTTCATTAAGCTCCCGACGAACAGTTATTGTGCTGAAGTTGCTTCCAGAGGCAGTTTGGATCTCTGTAGTGAGTGTTGCAACAGAGGACAGACGATTTGTACGCGCTACGCGCTTCAGCACTCGGCGGTCCTGTTCTGTGAGCTTGTGTGGCCTACCACTTTGCGGCTGCGCTGTTGTTGCTCCTAGAAGTTTTCACTTCACAATAACAGCACTTACAGTTGACCGGGGCAGCTCTAGCCGGGCTAAAATTGCACGAACTGACTTGTTGGAAAGGTGGCATTCTATGACGGTGCCACGTTGAAAGTCACTGAGCTCTTCAGTAAGGCCATTCTACTGCCAATGTTTGTCTATGGAGATTGCATGATCGATTTTATACACCTGTCAGCAACGGGTGTGGCCGAATCCACTAATTTGAAGGGGTGTCCACATACTTTTGTATATATTGTGTATATTTAGATATCTTTGGTAGAAACAATACTATTTTTTCCTTGACATAGTGATGCTGAATGTAAAAAATGGCTCAACATACCCCACTCTCCCCTACACTTGATTCCTGAAGTTACTTGAATTACTGAAAAACAAAAGGCAGTAGCTCTCCACTTTTGTAGTGTGCTTCTGTAGGGCACTGTCAAGGTCACTAAAGCACAGCTCTGTACTTCTTATGGCCTAATGAGGGCATTATACTGTAGTATGCCTGTAAGTGTCTCAGTGTAAATAGTTTGCTGGGTGTGACTCTAACACTCGGAATGTGATATGGGTCTTATAGACCTGTGAGAGGATGGTGACGTTGGACTTTTAGGAATATGGAAAGATCAATATGAAGCCATTGAATGTAAATATGTTGTATTTCTGTATATGTACAGTCTTTTAAAGGTAAAAGGGAATGTATTGCAACTACAAGCCTTACCAGTGTCTGCTCTCCCCCCCCCTCCTTTCTTTCTTTCTATTCCACTTTGCTCGTCATCTCTCCTCCCCGCCTCTCTTACTGCACTAATGTATTCTGTTTGATAAACACACAGAACTCATTACCACAGGCCAGTATGACTGATTCCAAGCGCGCACGCGCGCGTGTGTGTGTGTGTGTGTGTGTGTGTGTGTGTGCGCGTTCTGTGAATTCTATTGGAGTGAGTTATATTCCCTCCCCTCCCACAGCCTCTGGCAGACATCCAGTAACTATCTACTCTGGAAATTAACTTTCACAGCATCTGTTACTGCAAACTGTTATCTAAATGGAGGTGTACTGTATTTTCAGTGTTATAATTGTGAAAGTATTAGCCTCTATATCTATCACACATTGGTCTGACTATTTCACCTGGGAATGTGAGGGGTCCCTCAAACAAGTACGCCCCACTTTATAGCTTTTGTTATATTTCATGCATTTCTATTTGAACATTTAGTGAAGTCATATTCTGTGTGTTTGTGTAATGTAAATGTGTTATGCTGCTATACAATGTTAAGTATTACATGTTAAGTATAACATTATATGTACCTGTATACTCTAGGCTACTGTACATGTATTGTTTATAATTAGAATACTCAATTTCAATACAGTACTATCATATAACTGTAATAGCCTACACCGTGTTCCTTTCTCAATGTATCTGTAAGTTAATCATTGAATACTATGTCTCTGTCTTAGTGTTACAGTATATTACGTCATGGCACCATACCCATATACATTCAGTTTGTCCATTTAAATATCATTAGGAGGTTGTGAGTGTGATCATTAGACCTAATTTCCATTTCAACCTTTCGGGGAGAATTTCTTGCATGCACAACAAGGCGTTATAACAGTAGGGCGTAGGTCTAGGCTTCTACAGGTGTCTATGTTAAATTATCTTCAGAAAGCGTCCATAAATTAACAGAAGGAAATTGTCTTTGACACGTGGTTCACATATAAAGCACATTAAAAGCACCAATGCTAACATACATGGGACAAGAAAATTAAAAAGGTAGGCACTAAGCGCAGCATTAGCATTTGTGTCTAAATGTACTGTTTATAATTGTTATTGCAGAGCGAGGATTTGTTGTGGATGTTCGCTTTCGCTTTGACTTTGTACTGTACAAGTGGCCTGGTGCATTAGCATTTGTGTCTAAATGTACTGTTTAAAATTGTTATTGCAGAGCAAGGATTTGTTGTGGATGTTCGCTTTCGCTTTGAGTTTGTACTGTACAAGCGGCCTGGTGGAAGCAATTTGTTAACTGAGTAGGCTAGTTTACAGTTGGTTATGAAGCTGCTCTCTGAAGCTAGATAGACTGAAGCGCTGTGAGAGGTATCACCTGTCTAGCTTATTTCAAGACCAGCAATTATCTGTGGAATCATGTTTTATGTTTTGTGTGGACCCCAGGAAGAGTAGCTGCTGCTTTCGCAACAGCTAATGGGGATCCTATAAAATACCAAAATGCCATTATGGAACTCTGCTGCGGAGACACTGAGTGCCCACTGGGTGGTGGTAGCGTATAGGCAACATGTGGAGGGTGAATAGTTAAATAAAGGTAAAATAAAAAAATGTGGCCTTACTGCTATAAGCCCATACAAACGCATAGAATATTGAATACATGTTCACTACATGGAGCAACAGATAGATCCCCTAAAGGAAGTTTGTTCTGAAGTGTCTGTCCTATATCTGAGAGATGTAAGAAAGA